TTACCTTAGGTCTATTTTTCTGCCCTTGAATACCAAATTAAAGGGCCTAAACAGAAACAGGAATATTTGTCGACACTGTTGGTGTTGTTTCTTTCCCCTTCTGCTTTAGCATTTGAAATTACCCTAGGAGTGTTTCTCAAAATAAGATACTGTCTTGAAATTACAAATACAATATCAGCTAAATTGTAGGAAATTTCAGCTGTTTTTTCTACATGTTCTGGTAAAGTGCCACTAATAGACTGAATGCAAGGAAAAAACAAGTTCAGGGAAAAATGAGGCAGGAGAGCTTCTGGGTTTCCCATAGATCTTGCTATCCTGACCTTTCTTTGAGTCTAAATTCTTCTACTTTTTAATTGGCAGTGTACTGCTAGATCTTTCACCATTATCTGTCCTTGCGTTGTGCCTCTGATCACTTTTTTTCTTCCCTGTCAGTCTATCCACCACCCTCCAGTATGAATTAAAATTTCAATATAGCTTCTTTGGCTAGATATAATTTATATTCTCTCAGCTGTTTCCTATTCTCTCTCTCTGCCTCCAACTGATCATGTGCTCTTAGATCTACCAGATCTTCACTTAGTAAGATGTTTCTTCTAGATATATTAAACTAACTGCTAAGACTGTAACTTCAGACAATCTCCCAAATCTCATATTTATCCCTGCCGCCAAATCTAATCCTTCAAGTTGACCTCAAAATTTGTTCAATTCTCATATCTTGGAAGAAAAGATGTAAAGCTACCCATCATCACCTCTGAAACATTAATTGTATCTGACAACATTCTATCTCTTCCTTTGTTTAAATTCGTAGTGATATCCTCAGAAGGCTCAGTTGACTACAGTAATTTTTTTCATTTATAGTTCTTTTCACCAAATTCAAGTTGCCCAACAGTGAAAAGCTTAGCAGTTCATTCAAGGGCAGACTAAAGAATGCTAGGCCTCTAACAGTCTTTAGAACGAGTATCTGATGGTTTATCTATCCCAGAATTCAAGAGAGAATCTCATTCTGATCCTTTACCATTTATATGAAAGGAAACCTAATTCTCTTCTTGCTGGTATAGTGAATATCAGGGATAATTCCTTTGAATGTCTTTGGGATTGTATTTTCACCAGCAACAGAGGAGATTTAGAAATCATGTGCCCAATACTCTTGCTATACACAATCATTTTCCATATAACCTTTTATCTATATCCCAAGATTGCTTTACATACCTTCCTTCCTAACAGTTTATAGTTCTGTTCTGTTTCTACTTATAGCAGTCTAGAATTGCCTATTGCATTCTTTTTCATTTTAATCCAAAATCCGTTTCTTAACTCTTGTCCATGATTCCAAAAATGTACCTAATTTTTCAGTATACACATGGACGGACATACACACACCACTCATGCGTACATGCATGCAGGAGCACATACACACGCACACAATCTGTTCATGGACTCTTCAGATTTTCTTGTGCTAGTGTATTCTTACTGAAATTTTGCTATCCTATTCTCTCCAGTCCTCCCAGACCATACCAGCCTATGTAACATTAAAATATAGGATTTTAAAATACTGGTATTCCTAACTTAATGTAATTTTATTTGCTTGTACACATTGTCATCAAATGTTCATCACTCTATTATTTTTACATCAGTGTTAAAATATTTTGAGATGTTAACAACAAGCAGTATAAATATCAGAAGTTTTGCTCAGTGGAATAACAGGCAGTTGCTATAGAAGTAATTAATTGGAGGGTAATAATGCTTTACCATTTTAGTTATGAAATTTGCAAAACAGAAGGCATTGATTTCTTTTTAATTTGGTAAACAAGTTGAATTCTAACTTTCCCTATTTGTACCACTTGTGAACTATTATCAGCATCCTGTTACCTTTTCATTGTGCTGTCAATGCTGAAGGTAGCCACTTTCACGTTGAGTCAAGTGCTTCCTGAAAACTTACTTAAATATATTTAAAGCACGCCTAAGGCAAACTCCTGTCAGTACCGATGCTTGAGAAACCAGCAGGCAGAATTTTAAAAAAGGCAACGTCAGTATAGGTGCAGTATCACATTGCAATGCTGAGGGCAAGTAAACCTGTCAAATGTATTGCAGAATTTACATAAAGGGTTTCATGCAACTTGTACTATTTTCTACAGAAAGCAGACTAAAAGGGAAAACATCCATACCCAAGTGGTAAGATTAGGCCAAAAACTACTTAAGTGCAGATGCTGTTTCTATTAGCACATGTCACTGAGCAGTACGCTGCTTCAAAAAAACAACCAAAGCCACAAGTGTCCAGGAAAGTATTGGGTTGTCATAAACATGCCATCTTCCTCTGCAACCATAGAGGATCTTCAGGAAACAGTATCCTGACACAGATAAGTTTATGGGGCATCGGTTTAGGTGGCATGGATAGTAGGGATGTGTAAAGCTTCGGTCACTGATTGGATTTGGAGGATATTCAGCCCAATTCAGTGGCCAAATCTCTGAATCAAATTAGGAGACCCATTAATCTCTCTGAATTGACTCTGAAGCCTCCAAATCAATTTAGAGAGATTCGGAGAGATTCGATAATTTGGCCATAGACACAGCTTTATATGTTTTTTCTAAGTACCTTGAGGTACCAGGCGCAGCTTGTGAATGCTGAGATGGTGGGGCAGATGGAGCATCCCATGGGAACACGGAGGGGTTCCCCACGCACTCCATGGTGGAGCGCAAGGGGAACCCCCACACTCCCCTTGCTTGGCAGCTGGTACCTCCTGGACCTGGGCGGGGGCCCCAAGGTCCCCCCACGGCCGATCGCTGAGCCGGTGGGGTATGGGGGGTCTGCTGTTGAGCTCATGGGGGAACCCCCTGCAGTCCCATGGGATGCTCCATCTGCCCCACCATCTCAGCATTCACAAGCCATGCCTAGTACTTCAAGGTACATAGAAAAAACATATAAAGCTGTGTCTATGGCCGAATTGCTGATTCTCTGGATCAGAACCGAATCTTCAGATTCAGCTGAATTGAATCAGGATAGTGATCCAAGTCAGCGAATTGAATCACTGTTCCCCAAATTGGACCGAATCCGAATCGAATACTGCCTGCTTTGCACACCCGTAATGGATAGGATTTGTCCCTTAGCTGTTGTGTTTATCCATTTGGAAATAGATTTCCTGCACTGTAGGTTGCGAGTCATAAAGCAATAACAGACTTTTAGTCAAAAAGCAGTACCTACATTTTCAGATACCTTTTTAAAAAATAGATATGGAAATATAATGTTCTGTAATCCCTGTAACATTATAGTATAATCACCAGAATAACATTATAGAACATACAAAAAGTTAAGCATGCTAAGATTGCAAAACCAGGCACTCTGAAGTTATGAAATGCCAGAATTAAGACAGCATATGCAAACTTATTTTGGCCACATTGTGCATATGTCTTATGATAAGAACTTAATTGAATCAACATATGGGTAAACTAACATAGAACCCCTGTCACAGTTCATGCACATAATTGCCCTGGGGACAAATCAGGCTTGTGTAATGAAGGAAATTGATGTCTTGTTTGGCACTATCATGTTTGTTTTAGAAGTTGGTACTTGTGGAAGCTATTCAGCATAGTGAACAAGACAATGAATTGCAGGAAAAAATAAATGTGTCTCATGGTTAAAGCAGTTGAAAGTTTCCCCAAGTTATTTGAAGTCATCCCTGTCTCTGCCTCACAGTTCCAGTACAATACTTAGCAAGTTGCTTAAAGCAATTTATTTATTTATTTTTTAAAGAGTGCCTCACTTGAGACTCTGAGGGTCTGATTTGCAGAAGACCTGAATACTCAAAGCTTCAATTAAGGCTTCAGGAGAGATAAAATTCCACATAATCCTGATCTCCTAACTTTTGAGTGTTGGCTTTTAACCTCAACTTTTTTAGCATAATTTATTGTGTATAATTTACAAAAAGAAACCCCAAACATGAGAATAGTATTGACTCCATCATGATTTATTAAGAGGATTCAGATCTTGAAATCTGTAGTAGAGACCTGTAACACTTCAACTGACAAAATAACTGAAAAAATTATTTGTTATGATAGTTTCTATGGACCAGCTAAGAGAAAGGATTGTGTGCATATGTTACTAGTGGTGTAGGTTATAGCCATGTTGGTCTAAGAACATAGGCAGACAAGGATCTTGCGGTGAATCTGATATCTTTTATTAGACCAACTTAAATAGTTGGAAAAAAATGTTAAGCAAGCTTTCAGGTTTAAAAACCCTTCATCAGGCTGAGGAAGTCTCTGCAGTTGGTGTGTGCTCTTCGTGGATGGAACAGTGTGTGCTCCTTCCATCCAGGAAGAGCACACAGAGCACTCACCATTCCATCCATTATAGATGTAATGGGTGGGGGGGAGGGTCTAAGAAATACACCACTTAAAATGTTATGTAACCTAAAGCATGTTGTGTATGAGTTTGTGATATATAATCAGTTTAAGTGGTATATATCTTCCATCCATGTAAATAAAAGGCTACCAAATTACCCAATATTGTATAGAGTTCTGCATACAGACTAAGGACAGAATATGATTAATAGTTATTTTAAGCGCTTATTTATAACTGGTATGTGCATGTATTACATTCATAAACTAGTCATCTTTGTTTTTAATGGGACGTTTCTTTAAAAGAATTTTGATAAACCAAATCATTGAAACTTAAGTGCTGGAAAGCGTTTCTTATTCTTACAAGAATGTACAACTCATGATTCTTCTGTTCTTTGTGGTGGTCATTTTAACTTGCATGAAATCAAATTTGGGCCAGAATTTCTAAACTTGGATACCCCTAAATCCATTTTTAGAGACTTGAATATAATTGGCCACATTTTTAGAAGAACTAAGCACCCATATCTTCCATTGAAGTTTGTTGGGCATGCAAGCTGAAAACCTTTGAAAATTAAATCTTATATTTGGGTTTAATTTAGGGTATCTGACATTTTTAATATCTCCTTCAGTACACCAGTTTGTAAGAATCTAAACTAATATTGCCATCTTTACAGAAAGACAAGGAAGACCAGTGGCTAGAAAAAAAAGTGCAGGGTAGTAGAGACCACATCATCTTAGAACATCTTCAGTGGACCATGGGTTATGAAGTGCAAATTACTGCTGCCAATAGACTCGGTTATTCTGAACCAACATTGTATGAATTCAGCATGCCACCAAAACCCAACATTATTACAGGTAAGTTAATTTTAAATGTTTCCTAATACTGCTTGTTTTTTTGCTTATAAGATTTAATGTATGTGTACATTGGTTCTGAATACAGTCTCCAAACTTAAATTTATCATTTGAAGTCCTTTCTAACTGCTAAACCTTGAGACCCCATATTCTTTGTCATTAGGAGAATTGAATTTATAAACTCTAAACTGCAGTTCCTTTCTTTTCACTGTTCCTGCTAGTGATGTTGTCCTTCATAATTACAAAAGTTACTAAGAGATACTGATGTTGTTTAAAATATATCTACTGTTCTTTTGAGAATGTATTTAATTTTTATGTTGTCTTTTGTGCAATTGCTCACATGTTGGGGCTAGGGTTTCAAACTAAGTCAGTTGGACTATCCAGGCATGTTAAGTGTGTCTGTCAGAAAGTTACCATATTTACTTATTTACTACATGCACCCTTTCCCCAAAACTGGCCTTCTAAAGTTGGGGGGGGGGGGGGCGAGGGTTTGTGTTAATCAGGGAAGTTGAATTTTCTGCCCCGAATAGAAATATGGAGGTGCTGTAAGATGCATGTTGCTTCTTTTACTTCTCTATCCTCCAGCAGCTTCATGGAGGAAGGGACAAAGTCCATCAAGGGCAGATCCAGTGGGGTTGTGATGGTGCAGTTGCACCCTAGTTTGATTCATGCACCATCCTGTAAAGGGGGTGGGGAGAAAATGAGTTGAAGATGAGGCAGTGTCCCTGCTCTGGCTAGCCACTCAAGAACAATCTTTTTCTCTTCATTCTACTTTTGCAGAAGCTAGGTGCTTGTTTTATTTGGAAGCATGTGGATACAAGAAAATATAATTAATTTGCAGACTTGCTAGCTTTTGAGATCAAGGTCATAAGTAGGGTTCTTTTGATCTAATCTTATCAGTTCCAGTTCATTTATAATTTATGCAATGTTGTTGATGTGCTTAAGTGCTGGCATGAGTTTTTTAATGCAAATACATTGCAATTTCTTATTAGTGGTTTTTCATTATCAACATCTAAAGGGTTAAAATTAATCAGCAGTGGGTGGGAGCATCTACATGTGCAATTAATGCAAAGGAGTAAACTCTGGAGCTTATTGCTCTGGAGTTCATTGATCCTGGGTGTGCCCTTTACACATGCACCTAAGACTGCATCATGTTGAGCCGGGTCAGAGCAGCCCCAGCTGGTATGGGGCTCAAGGGTCAGCCTGGCCCAGCTCTGTGTGCTGTGGAAGGTCTAGCTGGGGCATAAGGGTG